GTGATGGGACGTCCAGACTGCCCGGCAGGACACAGGAGGCGGCTTGGCTGCAGGGGGCGCTCAGCACCCAGAGAAGACAGGAGCAGCCCAGGGGCAGGGGCAGGGGCAGGTAAACTCCAAGGGCTGCTTTCCTGTCAGGGTCTGTGGTTCTTCTGCATCAAAAGCATTCTCCTGGGAGCCGCTCTGTATTTATGGTTCTCTGACTACCACTGAGGCCTCTGGATTGGAAAAGTTCATTACTAGAAAATATAAAATAAAACATTCTCGGATGCCCCTAAGGACTGCATCACTAATGGAGGCAGAAGATGTCACAGGAGGCTGAGGGGCTGTGGAAACTGTGGGATGTGGGTGCAGAACTGATGACAGAGACATAAACTTCAGAGGAGTCTGATAAAACCTCCTAATTACCTGTGATCCACTCTAAGTCCAGTAAAGCCGCCGATGCCTCCCTGAGCCAAACCCGCCCATCAGGGCTCAGTCCCATGTCCCAGCAGCAGACGCACCTCAGTGTCTCCACTGTGTGTAGTCACTGCCTGGAGGAGCTCCCAGGACACGTGTCTTTGCATTAACCAGGTCGTGGGTGTCACAGATCAACTCTGGGAACCTGGTCTATGGGTTTCCTGATGGTGGAGAAGCGGGAGGTGCAGTCCCAGGGCCAACACACCGTCCATGTATTTTTCTATGGAAACCATGATTTTTCTTGCTTCTCTCAGATGACACAGAGGAGCAAGAAGACGGTCTTCAAACAACTGCAGTGTCCACATTTCTCCTGAGTAACTGCGTTATGTCTGAGTCTGAGTGTGGGTTCAGCAGAGCATGGGCTTTCTCGTAAGAAACTGCTCAGTCCCAGCTGAAGCCACGTGGTTCTCACTCCTTGCTTTTCATTCAGCTTCAGAGATCCTGAGTAGAGCAAATCTTGTCCTTTGCACACGCTAAACCTCACCTTCCTCAGATAAAAAGCAGAGATTTTTCCGACTGTGTCTGAGCTGAAAGCTGCTTCTCCACACGTTACAGCTTTCAGAGACCCCCGAGGGCAGCTTTATGGAGTCAGGTGTGTCTCCATGTGGGGGAGCTCAGCTGCCAGTGATTCTGCTGTTAGAATTGTGGGTTCAGAATTAGAACATTTAAATTATCATGCCTCAAAAATTACCATCATTCTAGATAGAAATAATAATACACCACTAATTGTTGTCACATTTATTATTATTATTGGAGTGTACCTTGGAGGACAAAATTGCTACCATAAATCTGCATAAATCTAGTGTCAGAATCTCCTGAAATGGTCTAGAACACTTGCAAACTGCACAGAAGCAGATTCTTCCTTATTTCTATGCTGCTGTGTTTTGCATTGTTGATATTTTGTCCAGACCCATTAGCACCAACAACTGTGAGTTTCATGCCCCTTCTTGGCTTCTCTGACAAGGAATTCCATTAGGACCTGGCAGACTGAGACAACTTGGAACAATGTCAGAGCAATCATCTGTAATTGCTTCTAAATGTCAGCTTTATCAATTCTAATGCTTTCTCTATTGTTTCAGATCTTGGTTATTAAAGGATTCTCGCTTATTCTCTTAATCTAGATAAGAATTTGTCTGTTTTCTTTTGTTTGGAAAAAAAACTCTTAGATTTGTTGATTTCTCTGTAGTCTTATAAAGTCTCTTTTTAGCTTATTTCATTTACGCTAAAGCCTCATAAACACATTGACTACATGCAGATAGAGAACTTGTTTGTAAATGCCATATTTTTGTTAGACTTAGCTGAGCATGTCAGGAAGTCCCCTGAGGGTTTTAGGGACTGAGTGTGGCTCCCACACTGGACAAGGATGAGAACCTCCAAGCTCTGGGGATGGGAGATAGGTGGGCAATGTGAGAAAGGAAGATGGACAGAAGGTCCAGTGTTTCTTCCCCTGGTGGCACCACTTATATCTGTCCTCAGTCTGAGATTCAGTCATTTCTGTCCAGGTGGGAACACCAGTTAACTTCATCTTTGTTAGATGGATAAGAGCCAAAGACAGAGGCTTGTCAGTCGCTGTTTCTGTGCCTGCTCCCTTGGGAATGTCCACATTTCTTATGCTCTGTCCTGAGTCTATACCCCGATGGCTCCCCTGCTCCATGACACCACCTGTGCCTGTGCATGGCCCATGCCCACACCCTCCGTGAAACTTCCTCCTGGCTCAGGAAGAGTCCCCTGCCTTGTTTTTCTCCTGCCACTGGTCCACATTCTTATCCATCCGCAGGCTCTCAGCAGCGCCTCCCATCCACGCTGACCCTACATGGGGTCAGACCTTGTCCACCACTTCCTCTCTCTTTCCTTCTGAGCCTTTTATCCCAGCAGCCTGTTTACATCTCACCGGGACTTGTGTACAGGAAAGGTTTACTGAGCAGGTTTGGGGTGTTCAAACCCTGAACATTCCTGAAAATGTCCTTTCTCAAGCCAGGTCCGCATCCAGCTCCTGGGAGATGATATCCGTTTTTCTGGCATACTCTCCTGGTAATATTTTTGAAGCCAATTTGTTAAGGAAACGCTTACATCTATAAAACTATACATTAATTAACATACCTCATTGAGTTTGGAGTAAGTGTATACCTGCAAAGTTATTACCACCATCAAGGTCGTAACCACACGTAACCACAGCAATCACTTCCAAAGCAGTCCTGTATTCCTATTATTATTATTATTATTATTAAAAATTGTGTGTGTGTGTGTGTGTGTGTGTGTGTGTGTGTATCCTGGGTGCACAGTACCCTAGCTGTTCCATAATGACTTATGGTGAGTACCCATCATTGCTGAAGGAGCTCTTGTCTGAGTGCTGGAGGTCAGGTATGCAGGTGCCACACACATCTGTGAAGGGCCTCAATAAACAGCACTGGGCACCAGCACTCAGGTGAGCGTCCCTGTGAACAATGCCTCACATGTGCTGCCATTCATCACCTCTGGGAGAAATGGGGACAAGAGACTCCTCAGGGAAAGAACACCTGGGAGCTCATGCCGGATTCTCAGAACCTTCCTCCTGGAGCCTTTGCTCATTAAAATTCATATTCCTCTGCTAGAGTAAAGCTGTACCTATGAGAATAACAGCTTGTCCTGGGTCCTTTATTTGTACCGATTATGGGTCCTGAGGACGGTTTTGGGACACTCAGCACAATTACATCAGAGGTGGAAATTCCTAGGAAGACCGTGATGACTGACACATGGCTAGAGCCTTGTTTATAATATCAAACGATGAGAAAGGGTGGCATAAAAGACATCCAATGCCTGGATGGTTACTGAGTCACATGGCATAAGATGGCATGTGCACTCCAGTAAGGAGCAGAAAGAAAAGGGAATCCATGGAAATTTGAAATGATAGACACAGCTCCCTAGGAGGTGATCCCCGAATAAAGAAAAGTAAAATAAAGGAGAACAACCTCACTATGCAACTCATATCTGTGACAGCTAAAATGAAACACAAAGATGCCGCATCCAGCCCTGCACTGTACCCTGTGAGCCAAGGCTGCTAGACTCCCCTCCACCACCACCGAATACAGTTGTGCAGAAGAAAGACACACAACACACAGTAGCCACACTGAAGGCAGCCCAGGGGTTGGGATGGGCAGGGGAATCCACTAGACAACTAGAACAGGGAGGACAGTGTAGAAAGTGGTGCTGTTTGTGATATGATTAATATCATTAATTACTCTCATCAGAACATGAATGACATTAGCCAATGGACTGCGAGTGGCTGAGCTGACATAGCAGATTCTGTTTGGCTTCTTGTGCTGCAGAAGGGAGGGGCATGTCTGGGAGGAGGCTGGATCCACAGCTCAAAACAGTAACATCACACATGACTTTAGCTGATCCCAACCTCCCGTGGATGCTTTGGATGGGACAGCTTTCCCAGTGCACTGGATCCCAGATTGTGTAATTTCTCTGCCCGGAGGATGAGTCTGCTTTTCCCCTCTTTGAAATACAAAGTGGGCTCTGCAGATGGGGAGGCCAATGCTGCACATTCTGCATCACCTGCTGCTGGGAGTTTCTGGTGATGCTGATGGTCATTGCTTTGCCTGCACCTTACACAGGTCGTGGCCTGTGCTGTGCTGAAGAGAAGTCCTTTTGCTCTGCTCCCCAGGTGCAATTCCTGTGAATAACCTTGCAAACATTTTAGAACCTGTGCAGTTTCTGTCACCTTGGCTTTCCATTTGGATCAGAAGATGCTAAGGAAATAAGTGTGGTTCACAGGAAAATGGGGCAGACACAGGGGAGAGTTAAGGGCCTCCACACAATGTGGGTACCATAAAATAAAAGGCAAAGAATGAAAGAACTCGACGAGAAGGAGCTGGGGTTGACACAAAGGACTTAAAACAGCACTGCCAGGAGTGGGTGTAGCCATGGGAATCCCTTCAGGTCCATCAGCAATTCAGAGACCCAAACAAGTCTCCCTATTTATGGTGAATTGGCAGAGTGTAAAATCCAGAAGACAAAATGACCAGGAAAGATGTGTGATTTTGCATGGGTGAGGGTCTGACAAGTTAATCAAGCTGAGGACTGTTGTGGGCCTGGGGTGGTCCTGCCCTTACTGTGCGCCCAGGCCATAGTCACAGTCATGGGAAATTGCCAGGGAATAGAGTAGTTTTTGGTTGTTCTTGTTATCAGGCATATGTGCCTTTGAATTTTCTCTTCATGGCCTCTGGTTTAATTTCTAATTTTTAAATGCACATAGTTTCATCTAGATTTGCCAGTTTCTCGATGTCACAGAGAAGAATGGAAGAAGGGTTGCCCTTGTATGGCTGTTCCAGAAGCACGGACAGAGTGGGAGGAGCACGAGGAGGGTGTAAGGAATTATTCAGACCTTGTTCTGCCTCTCCCGGGAGGCACAGTCGGCCTTTTGTCTGCAATCGCATTTCTGGGTTATAAACCCTGTAGACTCTTCCCGTCAGGCCAGGGCGTCAACTATGCAAATTCAAGTGGGGGCTCCCCTCTTAAACTCAGGGCTCCCCTCCACAGTGTGTCTCCCTCACCGCCCAGCTGGGATCTCAGGGCTTCCTTTCCTGTCCTCCTCCAGGATGGGGTCAACCACCGTCCTCGCCCTTCTCATGGCTGTTCTCCAAGGTCAGTCCTGCCCAGGGTTTGAGGTCACCGAGAAGAAGGGTTTGAGGGCACAGGGACTCCCTGATTCAAATGTTCTGTCTCCCACACAGGTGTCTGTGCTGAGGTGCAGCTGGTGCAGTCTGGAGCAGAGGTGAAAAGGCCCGGGGAGTCGGTGAAGATCTCCTGTAGGGCTTCTGGATACAGCTTTAACAACCACTGGATGAGCTGGGTGCGACAGATGCCTGGGAAAGGCCTGGAGTGGATGGGGATGATCTATCCTGGTGACTCTGATACCAGATACAGCCCGTCCTTCCAAGGCCACGTCACCATCTCAGCCGACAAGTCCAGCAACACCGCCTACCTGCAGTGGAGCAGCCTGAAGGCCTCGGACGCTGCCATGTATTACTGTGCGAGAGACACAGTGTGAGAAACCAGCACTGGGCCCATCTAAAACCCTCCACAGAGCAGGTGCAGAGGGAGCTGCCAGAGACACCCTCCCCAGGGCCCTCTCCATTCCCCCCAGGGAGGAATCGCTGGCTGTTTGTATCCTCAGGAGCGAGAACCAGAGAACAGCATGGGAGGATTCCCAGCCCCTACGGCAACTGGATGGGGGACCTCTCCTGGGAGTGGATTCTCTGAGGGGCTCCCACTGTGTGTTCTAAAAGGTTGTTCATGGCTTATATTACACAGTTAACATCAAAAGCCTGCCCAATAGGCAGCTGTCAAATATGACAGTCTTTTAATTCATGAAGATTTTACAGTTAACCATTGCTGGCTTGCTCTTCTCCCTCCTGTCCTCTCTCACACCCGCCTTTTATTTCCTGCTCAATTTTCCAGAATCGTTTAATCCCTTTGTGAACTATTAGTCGGTCCTTTTTCTTTTTGGTTGTTTTTGTTGTCGTTTCCTCTCAATAATGTGTAATGAACAGTTCATTTTGTGCCATTTCAAGTTTTTGGGTATAATAAGGACTTCTTTCATGAAAATTTGATAAATTAAAATAAATAGATAAAATTTTTAAAACATACAACCTATCAAAACTAAACCATTAAGAAATAAAAAATCTGGGCTGGGTGTGGTGGCTTAAGCCTGTAATCCCAGCACTTTGAGAGGGAGACAGGTGGATCACCTGAGGTCAGGAGTTTGAGATCAGCTAGGCCAGTGCAGCGAAACTCTGCCTTTACTAAAAATACAGAAATGAGCTGGACATGGTGGCGCTCACCTGTAATCCCAGCTACATGGGAGACTGAGGCATGAGAATCACTTGACCCAGGACGCGGAGGTTGCAACGAACTGGGATCACACCACTGCACTCCAGCCTGTGAGTGAGACTCTGTCTCAAAAAAAAAAAGTCAACAGACCAATGAGTAAAGAGATTGAGTCACTGATTTTTAAACATCTCAAAGCAAAGGAAAAATCAAGAACTTGATGATTTCACTACTGAATTTTATCAAATGTTTAAAAAAATCTAGGATCTCCATTCAAATTTCCAAAAAAATAAAGAGGAAATAATACACCTAAACTTATTTTGGAAGGCTCTATGTCCAAAGCAGGGAAAAGACACTACCAGTAAATAAAACTACAGATGAATATCCGTGATTCACAGAGTTTCAAACCTCTCAAAGTGATGAGGAACAAAATTCAACAGCACATTAAAACGTGATTCACCACGATCAGCTGTGGTTACTTCCACCATGCAATGAAGGTTCAGCCTGCACAACCCAGTGTGATGGATCAAATTAAAACACTGAAGGACGAAAGCTGGATGTTCACGTCGATAGATGCAGAAAGAGCCTCTGACTAAACTCACCAGTCTCATTATAAAAGTCTGAACAAGTTATGCATAAAAGGTATACACCTCAACACAATAGAGGCCACATATAACAAGCCCACATCTAACATTACACTCAGCGATGAAAATTTTATTTCCTCTAGGACTACAAAGTAGACAAGATGCTCACAATCTTATTTCATTTTATTTATGTATTTATTTTATTTTATGTATTTTATTATCTGTCAATTAAAACTTATAATATTTATTATAAGTAAACAACTTTAATTATAGACAAGAAAGGAATGATAGGAAGGAACAAATAAACATGTTAAATGTCAGGTAAACCTCAACATTTATCTGCCTGAACTTTGTCTCCACATTTCTCAGTAAATGCAGCAAAATCACACAGGATCTCAGGGCAGGAAGTGAATTCTCCAAACCACCGTAGGCCCGTTTGACTCCATCCTAGAGTTGATTAAGAGCAATCGAGGCCAGCTTTGAGGAGCATAGTCCCACATACTGGGACTCACTCATGGCAGACATGAGCCCTTAGGCACACCACGTAGCCCCTCCATGTGTGGTTCACTTTTCCATCTGTAAATGAAGAAACCACTGACTTCTAAATATTTGTACACATAAGAAAACATAATTAAAAATGTGATAGTTGTTACATGTTTATCTGAACAATTTCACAATAAGACAGCACATTTTCCCAAATACAATCATTGTCATCTAAATCCCCCAGGACAGTCTCATCTGCTCTGGGCCCTGCCCTCTCCTCAGGCGTCGAGCCCCAGAGCTTGCTATATAGTAGCAGACGTGCAAATAGGTCCCTCCCTCTCCTGATGAAAACCAGACCAGCCCTGACCCTGCAGCTCTGGGAGAGGAGCCCCAGCCCCAGGATTCCCAAGTGTTTCTATTCAGTGATCAGCCCCTAACACAGAAGGCTCACCATGGAGTTTAGGCTGAGCTGGGTTTTCCTTGTTGCTATTTTAAAAGGTAATTCATGGAGAAATAGAGAGACTGAGTGAGTGTGGACATAAGTGAGACAAACAGTGGATATGTGTGGCAGTTTCTGACCAGGATGTCTCTGTGTTTGCAGGTGTCCAGTGTGAGGTGCAGCTGGTGGAGTCTGGGGGAGGCTTGGTTCAGCCTGGGGGGGTCTCTGAGACTCTCCTGTGCAGCTTCTGGATTCACGTTCAGTGACTACAGAATGTACTGGGTCCGCCAGGGTCCGAGTAAGGGGCTGGAGTGGGTGGCGAACATAAAGTATGATGGAGGTGAAAAATACTACGCAGACTCCGTGAAGGGCCGATTCACCATCTCCAGAGACAATGCCAAGAACTCGCTGTATCTGCAGATGAACAGCCTGAGAGCCGAGGACACGGCCGTGTATTACTGTGCGGGACACAGTGAGGGGAAGTCAGCGTGAGCCCGGACACAAACCTCCTGCAGGGGAGCCTGGAACCAGCAGGGGGCGCTCGGGATACACAGAGGACTGGGCAGCCCAGGGCAGGTGCAGGTGGAGGACAAGGGCTGCTCTCCTTCAGGGCCTGTGGCTTCCTCTGCATCTAACGTTCCCTGGGAGGGTCTGTGTATTTACAGTTATGTCCCTGCTACTGAGGCATCTACGTTTGTGAAGTTTATAACTATAGGAGCAGCCATGACCAAATGCCCCAAGGCAGGTGCCACTGAGGGAGAAAGAAAGTGTGCAGGAGGCCGGGTGAGGCTATGGACACTGTCTGCCCAGGATTCAAGTTTCACAAGCAGAGAAGGGGAAATGGGGAATTCGATGGGGCTCCCCAACCACCACGAGGTGCACACTAAGTCCAGCATGTCCAGCAGCCCCCCTGGGCTATAGGTGCCCATCAGGGATCAGCCGTGTGCCCCGCAGTGCGTTCCCTGATGGTGGAGAAGCGGGAGGTGCAGTCCCAGGGCCAACACACCGTACATGCATTTTTATATGGAAACCATGATGTTTCTTGCTTCTCTCAGATGACATAGAGGACGTCTCCTTATTAGAGATTACTCTTAATTTATCTCTTAGAATTATTGTTTCCAGAGCCCTGGCCACCCAGTGCACCCCACGGAATGGGGCGGTGCCGGGCTGACCCCAGCGCCAGCTGCCACATCTTCCACGCCGGAAGCAGATGCAGACGTGGCGGAGAGAGAGCGTGAGACGCCTGGTCTGATGGCGCTGGAGACAGAACAGCCCATTCTCACCCGAGCCCCTGTCTTCCAGATCGACCCCAACATCAGGAAGAACTGGATCCTGCGAGCTCAGCGGTCACCGTTTCCTCCTTCTATGACGTCACAAGGAACCGCTGTCAGATCGTCAGCGTGGGCGGAGCCAAGGCGACCATCAACAGCACAATCGCACCAAATACGCCCTTCCCCAAAACGCCACAGAAGTCTGGGCAGGGCCGACAGCGGAGCCCACACGGTGTTTGCTTTGGGGTTTTCCTCTGAGCAGCAGCTGACAACGTTTGCAGAGAAATTCCAGGAGCTGGAGGAAGCTGCCGAGATGCCCAAAGACAAGGCCCGGGAGAAAACCGAGACCTGGAGTCACGGTTCCCAGCGATCTGGGCGTGAAGCCCCATCTGCGGCTGCGGCATCCAGTGTCGAGAGCGGCGATGAAAAGGCCTCTCAGCCGCTGCAGCCGACAGGCACCGGAAGTCTGAGAAGGACGCGCTGAGATCGCCGTGAGGCAGAGCGCGGCCACCGCGCAGGAGCGGAAGCTGCAGCGGCAGCCCCTGAGGAGAGCCACGCCCCGCGGACCACGGCGCTGCAGGAGGCGGCGGCCAGCGGGGAGCCGGGAAGAGGACGGGACACCAACAGGGAGGAGCAGAAGAACACGCAGCTCAAGAAGAGGACGGAGGACCTGGAGGCGGAGCTCCGATAACAGGAGACGGAGCTGAAAGGTCTCCGAAAACAAAGTGAAATCCCACCTCAGCTCCTGTCAGAGCGCGGCTGTGTCTCTGAGGAGCTCCAGTCGGCCGAGAGAGAATGAAAACCTGGAAGGCAGAGGTCGTTCCCTAAAGACAGACACTGAGGAGAGCAAGCGCCCACAGCGCCACCTGGAGGTGGAGGAGAACAGCTTCCCGAGCTGCGGGAACGGAAGTTCGATGACCTGCCAGACTTCCGCCCAGACCACCCCACGCTGGGCACCAATAACTAGGGCTGTCAAGACCTGCGCCCACCCGTGAGTCCCACGTGTGTGTGCGAGACCAGACGGTACTAGGACGTTCTCCTGTATTCAGTGAATGGTGTTGCAATAGCTGGATTCTAGCTGATATGCAGAATGCAAGAGTAAAAGAGGCTGGGCAATTTATATCTAGATTTTACAAGATGTCTAGGGAATCCTATATGCCGAGGAAGAAGCCTGCTGCAGGGGTGGATCCACCCCAAGCACCCTCTACTAAGGCGGTGCCAAAGATGGGGAAAGATGTGGTCGGAGCCCCCATTCAGAGTCTCCACTAGGGCATTTCATAGTAAAGCTGTGGGAATGTGGCCACAACCCTCAAGACCCCAGAATGGTGGAGACAGATGCAGCTTGCACTCTTAGCCTGGAGCAATTTCTGGCACTTTACTCTGGCCTGTGAAAGTGGCCCCATGGGCTGTGCCCAGCGGTAGGGATGAGATGCCTGAGGTTTTTAGGACCCCTATTTCTCAGTGTGCCCTGATTGAAGGACATAAAGTCTAGATCGATTGTTTTGTAGCTTCAAGATTTAATATCTGTCCTGCTAGGCTTTAGGTGTGTGAGGGGCCTGTTGACTGTGCCTTTGCCCAATGTACTCCTTTTTAATTGACAATATTTACCCAGTGCCTGTGGCAATATTGCACCTTGAAAGTAAATAACTCTTGAAAAGATTTTGCCAGCTCACAGCTGGAGGGAATTGCCTTGAGTCTCAGAGGAGTCTTTGGAATTTTCAGTTGGAGGTTGATCAAGTTAAGGTTTTGAGAACTGTTTTTTTAAAATATGATTTTGAATTCTAAGAAGGACTTGAGATGATAGGAGGTAACAGTAAAATGATATAGTTTAGATGATTGTCCCCTCCAAGTCTCATGGTGAAATGTGATCTACAATATTTGAGGTGGGGCCCACTAGGAGATTTTCCATCATGGGAAGAGATCCTTCAGGAATGGCTTGGTATCTACCCCATGGTAATTAGTGAATTATTTCTGTATTAGCTGCTGTGATATCTGCTGGTTCAAAACAGTCT